TTTATAAGCATAACACTTACCTCTATATATACAAGTACGCTGGACTGGCTATGCCATACAAAATGCTTATGCACTTTGCTTATACCGATTTGAAGCGCCCCCATTGTCCGTACCGGGAACTAAAATTGACATAATATGCCAAAGTCTGTTGTATTATTTAAATCATATCTCTATATTGTGAATTTTTAAATTAAAAAATGTTTGATTGTTTGATTTTAGTTACATAATAAGAATTATTTTTTGTAATAATGAAGATGTGCGTAATTTGTAAAACTCGTTACCGAAAGGAAAGTGGGATAACATTCCATAAGTAAGTGAATTTGCAGCTAATATTAAGCAAATTGATAATATAGGTTCCCCGTGTAGTTGCGGGTAAGAATACTCACTACCCCATATCTGCCCGTGGGTGTCAAAGTAAAAGGCGACAAAGGGAAACTGAGGCAGAGGATGGGCAGCAGCATCTTTCTGATAACAGCAAAACAACAATAAAAAAACTGCGGTTGCCAACCCGCTCGCCAAGCGTGGCAACTATGGCAATAACGAAATGCCATAGTTGCCATGAAAGTAACGAAGAGACCGCCCCCAGTCCCCGACGGCCTCGCTATTCCTGGCTACGGTGGCGACCATGGTAACGGCGGGGCAGGGGGTGCTAAGAATCTCCAGTGAAGGTTCGGTTGCCACCTACGACGACTCGACCTGGCAACTTATAACGCACGCACCCTGAGGACTGACGAGAAGATCCTGGATCTGGAAGAAGAGATAGACAAGTTGCGCTGGAATGTCATAGGATTATCCGAAGTCCGAAGAGAGGGGGAGGTGACGGTTATCCTCGAATCCGGCAATTTGTTCTATCACCAGAAGGGCGACCATCTGTCCCAAGGAGGTGTTGGATTTATCGTCCACAAGTCTCTCGTTAACAACGTTGTAAAGATTGGGAGTGTGTCGACGAGGGTTGCGTATCTTATACTCAGAATCACCAAACGGTATTCACTGAAGGTCATACAGGTTTACGCACCAACCTCGGCACACCCCGATGAGGAGGTGGAGGAAATGTATGAGGATATCTCTAGAGCCATGCATTCCTCCAAAACCTACTATACGGTGTTAATGGGAGACTTCAACGCAAAACTAGGCACAAGAGAGAACGGTGAGCTGAAAGTAGGGAATTTCGGAATAGGGCAACGGAACCCAAGGGGCCAGCAGCTGGCCGACTTCATGGAGAAAGAGGGACTCTTTATGATGAACTCTTTCTTCCAGAAGCGGCCCCACAGGACGTGGACCTGGTCGAGCCCAACGGTTCCACAAAAAATGAGATTGACTTCATTATGACGACTAGACGACAACTGTTCAGTGATGTCTCAGTGATCGCGAGGGTGAAAACCGGCAGTGATCACCGAATGGTGAGAGGCACACTAAACCTAAACGTTAAGTTGGATAGGTCACGTCTAATGAAGTCAACGCTCCGTCCCCCTCGTGCTCTAATCCAAAGTCCCGAAACCTTTCAGCTCAAGCTACAAAACCGTTTTCAGTGCCTAGAAGATTGCAATGCAGTGAACGATATGAATGACAAGCTCGTGGAAACTGTCCATGCGGTCGGAGCTAAGTTTTGCAAGACCCGCCGCAGAAGAACACAAAAACTCTCCTGATCACACTCTTAATCTCATGGCTGTTAGACGGGATATGAAGCTGCAGTCTTCAGTAGATTTGACAGCATACAAGCAACTGAACAGACAGATCTCCAAATGTATGCGGCGGGACTTACGCAACTTTAATACTGCTCGTATTAAAGAAGCGATCGAGCGGAACCAGGGCTCCAAAGTCTTTGCTAGAGATCAATCTGCCAGAAAGATCCAACTGTCGACGCTGAAGGCCGGGTGTGGCAGCGTCGTTTCCGGAACCCCTGAGATTTTGAGTGAGATTGAGAGGTTCTATGGGCAGCTGTACACATCATCGTTGGAGCCACACGTAAGTGTGAGTAACGATCCAAGAGTGAGTCTTATTCGACACTATTCCGATGATATCCCGGACGTCAGTCTGAGCGAGATTAGAATGGCTCTCCAGCACATTAAAAACGGTAAGGCCCCACTCGAGGATAGAATTACAGCGAAGCTTCTGAAAGCGGGTGGAAAACCGGTACTTGAAGTCCTTCAGAAGCTCTTTAATTCCGTCCTCCATGGTGGCACTACACCGGAGGCGTGGAGCAGAAGTGAGGTGGTCTTATTCTTCAAGAAAGGTGACAACACTCTCTTGAAGAACTACATACCGATTTCCCTTCTGAACCGAGTCTACGTGCTGTTTTCGAGAGTCATTACGAATCGTCTCGCGCGCAGTTTTGACGACTTCCAGCCTCCCGAACAAGCCGGTTTCCGAAAAGGCTTTAGCACCATAGACCGCATACATACCCTTCGGCAAATTATACAGAAGTCCGAGGAGTACAATTTGCCACTATGTCTGGCGTATGTGACTATGAGAAAGCCTTTGATTCCGTCGAAATTTGGGTGGTGCTGCAGTCCCTTCAGCGATGCCATGTTGACTGTCGGTATATCGAAGTGCTGAAGTGCTTGTACAGTAGGGCTACGATGACTATCCGAGTACAGAACCAGAGTACGAAACCTATCCAATTGCAGAGAGGTGTAAGACAGGGTGACGTGATATCCCCGTAACTCTTCTCCGCTGCATTGGAAGATATTTTCAAGCTTCTGGACTGGAAAGGATACGGTATTAACATCAATGGCGAGTACATCACTCACCTTCGATTTGCAGACGATATAGTCCTTATGGCAGAATCGCTAGAGGAACTAAGCACCATGCTCAATGACCTCAATAGTGTCTCCCAACGGATAGGTCTTAAGATGAACATGGACAAAACAAAGATCATGTTTAATGTCCATGTTACACCTATGCCGGTAGTTGTTGGGAGCACTAAGCTCGAAGTTGTTGACGAGTATGTTTACCTGGGACAAATAGTCCGACTAGGTAAGTCCAACTTAGACCGAAAGGTCAATTGACGGATTCAACTCGGTTGGGCAGCGTTCGGGAAATTACGGCACACCTTCTCGTCAGATATACCTCAAAACTTGAAAACAAGACTGTACAACCAGTGCGTGTTGCCAGTGATGACCTATGGTACTGAGACGTGGTCCTATATAAACATAGAAATGAGGATATCCGCAGTAGAACCAGAGTGATGGACATAGCCCAAAGGATTAGTAAGCTGAAGTGGCAATGGGCCGACCATATAGCTCGAAGGACCGACAACCGTTGGGGAAAAAAGGTTCTCGAGTGGCGGCCTCGTACCGGCGTACGAAGTGTAGGGCGTCCCCCCACGAGATGGAGTGACGACCTGGTAAGATATGCAGGAAATCGATGGATGCAGGTGGCTCAGGACCGTGCTTTGTGGTATTCCTTGGGGGAGGCCTATGTTCCGCAGTGGACTTGTGATGGGCTGTAGTGATAATGAATGATGATGATAATATAGGTACTTAAAAGTTTCTAATCTTAATATCGTAATTACCAATATATTTGGCTTTATATTACTGCGTTTTGATAAACAATAAAATTCAATAGGGTTGTTGAGTTCCTTGTCTATAATACTTATCGATGTTCTTTTCTACCCATATCTGTTCACAACCAAACTACCTAGAACTAGAACCTAGACTATAATTATGGCTAAAAAGCACAAAAATTGTGAATTGGTGTCTGAAACAAAATGGTTATCTTTCTTCTAAACGCTTCACAGACGATTGTTTTATTGGAGACGAGAAACGCACCACTTTGAAAAAGTGCAATGTACCCACAATATTTTCTGGTAGTACCAGTACCAGTAAGTATAAAAGTATTACATTTTTTTATAGGATATGGTGACAAACGAGCACACAGTCCACGTGATGGTAAGTGGTTGCTGTCATCTACATTTATCCTCGTTTGCGAATCAAAATGCAGATGCGTTGTCATCCGTGAGGACTAAGATGAAATGCGTCTTTTCCAGTAAAAGGGGTCTCCAGTTCTCTACACTCACCATACGAAACACAGCAAATACAAGCAGTGTTAAGCTGCTATTTTACGCTGGTATTCTGTGAGAGCGTGGTCCTTCCCCGGTCGAGCAGATTCAGAGAGCAGTCATGCTACAACTATACTAGTATAGCTGCAGCATGGCTTTACCACGTATAATTATTATTATTTTTTATTTTTATAGGAGAGGGGGCAAACGAGCATGCGGCTCACCTAATGGTAAGTGACTACCGCCGCCCATGAACAACCGCAACACCAGGGGAATTGCAGATGCGTTGCCGGCCTTTTAAAAAGGAGTAGCCTCTTTTTTTGAAGGTCCCTAAGTCGTATCGGTCCGGAAAAATCGCTGGTGGTAAACTATTCCACAAGGAAGTTGTGCGAGGAAGAAAACATCTTCTAAATCGCACAGTGGTGGACCGCCAATCATCCAGATGGTGTGGATGGTATCGGGAGTTCTGCCGCGATGTGCGTTCGTGAAATTTGGCGGCTGGGATTAATCCGAACAATTCCTCAGAGCACTCCCCATGGTAAATGCGAAAGAAAATGCTAAGAGATGCAACATCTCTTCGCAGTGCCAATGAGTCGAGCCGATCGGAAAGAACTCGGTCGTCGACGATTCGAGCCGCTCTGCGCTGGATGCGGTCAAGTGGAAGAAGCTGGCACTGGGGAGCCCCAGCCCAGAGATGGGAACAGTATTCCATGTGAGGCCGAACCTGCGCCTTGTAAAGTTGCAGGCGTTGAGCCGGCATGAAATACTGTCCCGCTCTACTGAGCACGCCAAGCTTTTTAGAGGCCAATTTGGCCTTCTTTTCCAAGTGACCACGAAACTGCACGCTACTCGATATGTCGACGCCGAGGATTCCGATACTGGCTGAGGCAACAAGGGGAGTACCTTGAAACTGAGGAGATACGACAAAGGGGTTCTTTTTAGCGGTAAACGCGCAAACTTGTGTCTTCTGAGGATTAAACTGGACTAGATTTAGTCGCCCCTAATCCGAGACTTTGTCCAGCAAAGACTCGACTTCAGACACAAGTTTGTTCCGGTACTCAGTGACGTTTTCCCGAGAAATATTGGCACGGCCGGTGTATAGAGCATCACCAGTGCTGTCATCCGCATAGCAATGAATGCTACCGGCTTGCAACATATCATTGATATGCAGAAGAAACAGCGTTGGTGATAGCACGCAGCCTTGTGGAACACCAGCGTTAATAGGCTTGTAGTCGGAGCATGCACCGTCTACAACGACCTTGATGCTCCGATCTGCAAGAAAGCTGGTGATCCAATTGCATAATTTCTCGGGAAGCCCATAGGAAGGGAGCTTCGAAAGAAGCGCTTTGTGCCAAACCCGATCGAAGGCCTTCGCAATGTCCAGACTAACGGCCAACGCCTCCCCCTTGGACTCTACTGCCTCCGCCCATCTATGGGTCAGGTAGACCAGAAGATCACCAGCTGATCGACCCCGACGAAAACCGTATTGGCGGTCACTAATCAGCTGGTGATCCTCAAGGTACCGGATGAGCTGGCAGTTAATAATGGATTCCATTATTTTGGAGAACAAGGGGGTGATGGCGATAGGCCTGTAGTTGGACGGGTCTGAGCGGTCGCCTTTTTTAGGGATCGGGTGGACAAAAGCTGTCTTCCATGATTTCGGGACTACGCCTAGGGAGTAGGAGTACCGGAAAAGACGCGTTAGAACCGGTGCCAACTCCGGAGCACACGTCCTCAGCACAATTGGGGGGATTCCGTCAGGCCCACTCGACTTGTGGATGTCAAGGGAGAGGAGTGCTCTGCGAACCGAGCCCTGTGAGAACCGCACATCCGGCATGGAGCACTCACACCGCGGGATGGTCGGCGGTGTGTTCCCCCCGTCATCAACAGTCGAGTTGGACGCAAAAAGGGAGCCTAAAAGGTCGGCCTTCTCTTTTGCGTCGTGGGCCAGTGAGTCGTCCTCCCTGTGCAGAGATGGTAGTGATGGCTTACAGAAATTCCCTTGGACAGCCTTGGCGAGAGACCAGAATGCACGGGTTCCCGAAGGAAGGCGAACTAGTTTCTCGCCAATTCTGCCTATGTGCTCTGACTTTGCCTTGGCAATAACTCTTTTGAAGGACCTGGAGGCGAAGTTATACTTCTTTTTGAGTGTGCTGGTGTTTACATCCCGAGTCACCGAAGCCGCAGCCCAGGCTTGATAACACTCCTGCTTACTGCGTAATGCAGTCTTACAAGAGCGACCAAACCAAGGCTGAGATCTGCCTCCGATGGGTACCACAGATGATGGAATAAATAGTTCCATTCCCTGTAGCACCACATCAGTGACAGAGTCAGCAACAGCGCTGGGATCATCCGGTGAGAAGCAAATCCGCCCCCATGGGTAGGAAGCAAAGAAAGACCGCATTCCGTCCCAATCCGCCGACCTGTAATGCCAAACACGGCGGCAACCTGCAGAACGCAACCGCGAGGGGAGCGTGAGTGGCACCACACTCCGGATCAGACAATGGTCCGAAGAGCCAAGAGGGGCATCGACGGAAACCTGATATCCGTCCGGATGAGAGGTCAGCAGAAGGTCCAACAGGGAAGGTGTATGATCCTCAACATCTGGAATCCGCGTAGGCGATGTAACCAGTTGTGTCAGACCATATGCCAAGGCAAAGTCATAAACAGATCTCCCCGCATGATCGGTTAAACGTGAACCGAGCCATTCGGCGTGGTGGGCGTTAAAATCGCCAAGGATCACGATCTCTGCGGATGGGACCTGTTGTAGCAAGGAATCTGCAGCCATTTGGACGTGGTCGATGAGTCGGTCTGTTTCAGCATTACCGCTATGGGACCTATAGAGGCACGCGTAGACGCGCGGATGGTCGTCGCTGTCCACGCGTAGCCAAAGGATGGACAGGTCCGAACCTTCAAGACTGCCGAGGCGTCGAGAACAGATGTCCTCTCTGACATACACGCAAACTCCAGCCCGAGGCACAAAAGAGTGCTCCAATTTGTACCCCGGGCAGGAGAGATACGAAGTATCAGCCGGAGAGGACACCTGCGTCTCGGTCAGAAAGAGCAAGGCCGGCTTCGCCGTCTCAAGATGGTAGTGGACGGCGTTTAGGTTCGAGTGAAGTCCCCTGATGTTGCAGAAATTCACGGATAGCGTGGCAGGGGTCGCCTTGGTCTTGTTGCTCAGTTTGCCCCGAGCAGTTTTTGTGTTGAGCGGAATTTTGCCCCCCCCAGAATACGCGGGGCAGCCTGAGCACCCACGCTCAGGAGTGGAATAGCATAGTCGTGGATGCTCAGCGAGGGATTCTCCAGGGGTACTGGTACCCTCCTGGGGTAGTTTATGACGTAATTCCGCTACCATGTTGATGGGGGGGGGGATTGGGCCTCCGGTCACCTGCACTCACCAGACGAAACGCGGAAGCAGAGCTTCCACTTCACGCCGGTATTCTGTGAGGTCGTGGTACTAACCCGGCTCGAGCCGGCCCATACGTGCAACAGCAAAAGCTGCTGCAATGCTCTACCACCGTTAAATTTATTATTTCGAATATTTTTATATCTTCTCTCCTTATTTTCCCCCAGACTCAAGGGCCATAGCCAAGTGTAGAAAGGTCTCCTGATAATGACTTTGTCTTTACAAGATGTAAGTTTGTTAAATCTGTGTAATTATTATGACAAATTTATTGTATCAAGGGAATAAATTTATATTGGAACTGCAAAATTATTAATGTCTTTAGTGAGTTTGCATGAGTTTAGGTAAGAAATAACTCCTCCCTGAACGTGGACGTCGTGGGGGAGAGGGAGGGGGGTTTAGTAGCCGTGGCTTGGTAACCCATAGTAAACTTAGGGCTACTTACATGGCTGGCCCGAAGTGAAGGGCTGGCCCAAGGTGGCTACTCTGAGTGGGCTTGTCGAGCCCTTGGATGTGTGTTAGTGAGCTGTAGCTAGAGGAGAGTCCTCTCTCTATATCGCTGCAGCCGAGAAGGTGTCGTAAGGGAAGAGGATTGTTGGTATCGTAATGCGCCACTCGACTATCCTCCGCGACTTTGGCGGGACTGTACCACTTGGTGCTTCCGAGTTTTCGTTTTTTCTTAGGCCTTCACATATCGGGGTCGGGAAGTCGGGGAGCGATGTCTTCAACTAAGGAGGGGTCCTCGCTGGTAGGGCCGCGGATGTGCTTGAAAGAGTTTCCGTGTCCCTGTCAATGTGTGGTGAAGGTGCAACATCATTCATCGTTTTAGTAGGTGCAAGTCCGACATAATCCGTTCTTGCCTCCGCAATGCAGGTATGCGTAGGCATTTTCTCATTTGAAACCCGGTACAAAATCCGTTCTTACGTATATATAATCCGTAGTTACGAATAAAAACGTTGATAGATTAACGCAGCGTCGATTCTTGTTTTATATGAAGTATATAGTTTGCGTCTAAGGCCTAGGTATTAATTGATACATTTATTTTTTATTATATAGCATTACATTAATGATACATAAATAGAATAGATATTACGGGCAGGCCTGGTTATACAATTCTTATCGATATATTTTTTCACACTGTCTTATCTCTATTGTTAGTTCCGTGGATGTTTACTTCTGCTGTCAGGGCCACAATGGCGAATATCAAATTGCCTCATTATGTCACGGCTATAGCCAGTCCTTAAATAGAGGTCAGTGAAGCATAATATTATGAATGTACAAAATATGCGTGTATTATTTAAATTATAATCTTCACTACTGCTATAGGGGTAAAAATTTAGAATCGTTTGGCTGGAAAGGGAAGAGGAAATGGGGGAGGATCACAACGGTGAGAATTTCTGGTAGCTCATTTATTTCTGGGCGGTAAAAAAGATGACCACGAAGTCGAATCTAACTAAGGTTAGAAGGCTGTTGCGGGAATTATGCGGCGACCCCCTCCCTCCCCCAGCCACAGAAAAAAGAAAAAAACCATTGGAGTTTAATAATGTGACAACAATCTTACTTCCTTGTCGCACTTACACCTTTTATTTTCCTTTTTCTATAAAAATACTAGCATTGCTACTCCATATTACCTACTAATATTCCCTGTAACCACTCCTGGCTTAAAATGCTTGTGTTAGAAGTGGTTTACGAATATAGTCGAATGACGGATTCGAACCCACGATCTTTTGTGAGTTCGCGGTCCGTACCCTGCCAGTAGGCTACTATCGCTTCAAATTATGTATGCTGTCCAGTTTTCACAGTAATATTGCATTAATTTTTTCACGTTTCACCCATTTATAGGTTATTATAAAATATATTTTAAAAACAGTGCATTACCTTTTAATGCGAGTGGTAATGTTATAATCAAGGACTATACCTCTCCCAAATTTACCCTTCCCCCCCCCCCCTCCCCCAAACTCCTGCCAAACGAATACAAATTCAACCCGCAATGAGCTAAGTAGAAAAAGGGAAAAAGGGTAAAGAAGGGAGAAATCGTCTTCTCTCTACTTGGGAGAGGACAGTTCCTCCCCTTCTTTTAATCTTCGCTTCAAGTAAGACGCAGCAGAACACAAGGTGCAGTTTCCTACAACATCTCCTTTTACACCTGCGCAATGTACCCTTCAGAGTCGAATACGCGGAAGCCATGGGGCCAGGAAAAACGTGCTCCTGTAACTGTAAGCATCAGCCTTCTTAGCGGAGGCTATGCCTATGCTACCGATCACGTTGCGGCCGAGGAAATCTGATACTAACATAGAAAGTTTTTATCTTCAATGATTTGGGGCACATAGTCGGTAATTATTTTATCGTCATTAGTAATTAATACTTCAAAATTTCAAATGTGTACCTATTAATGAAAATAAAATATTTGACACCAATTTTAACTATTTATTTTACTCAAATTCATCTTCAAACGCTCTATGAATTTCTTTTAACATATCGGAAGCTATCATACTACGACCATATGTTTCATATGCTTTCGAATTACAAGATCTTGTCAATTTTGCCGCTGCGTAAGCAGCAACACTTTGGGCAAATTGTGCTGATTGTTCGTTTTCACAAATGTAACTTTTTAATGCCCAGTTAAAAAATGTTGCCAAGCTACCCGATAAAATATCTCCTTGTCCACCAGCACGTCGACCGGATCCACCATCCGAAGAAGTCCATCTAAAAGGAACTATACTTGAATGGTAACGATCTTGTTCGCCTTTAGATAACACGGACACATATTTACCCCAGTAATCATACCAAGCACCACTCTTACTGGGAACAGCTTGAATTAGTCGCGTTGCTTCTTTGTGGTTAGGAGTAAGAATGGCGCCAGGACTGGGATAATCCTTCAGAATAGATATATTCTTCCATACTGCGTAAAGACCATCGGCGTCGATAACCAGAGGTTTCTTCAAAGTTTGACATGTTTGTATAATTTCATGTGTTAACTTTATGATATCATCGTCTCTACCTAAGCCCGGTCCGATGACTACGACGTCCATTTTCGATAATATGAAATTAAGTTTGGAGGCTGAGTGGGCATTAAGGAAGGGATACACGATGAGATCTGGACTATAAGATTTGATAATAGGAGCTGCATTCTCTGTAGTAATAACATATACAAGGTCAGCTCCGACCTGTAACAAATAATATGATATAAAAAGTATAATAAGAATAAAATGTAAACGTATACAAAAATGAAGCTAGAATTTCACATGATAACAATCGCAAAAATATAAATTGTTTCCTTTCATTAGGCGCTTTCAATTATATAGCATACCTGATTACTCGCAAGTTTATGAATCCTAGCCGGAGCCTAACAAATTATCCGTTTTTGAATTGGATTATGTAATGATTATCATTGCGATTCAAACAATGCCTAGGAGCTCACTATTGAAATCATGCATTAGCGCTACATCTGGCACCTTTATGATAGACTCTCTGCTGGTTCGCCTGACCGGGAAAGAGCCACGCTCAGTCTCAATATAACAGCCTGAAATATACTGACTGCTATGTTTCGTGCAGATACCTCTTTGTACTAGTAAATAAACATTCCATCTTTGTTTTCAGGGATGAAAACGCATTTGCATATTGAGGATAAATGGTCTATAGGCCACAGCTTCACTTACTATCAGTTAAATTGTGTGCTCGCTAGATCTGTTTACGTAAACGCTCTGCACATTTGATGACTCATGAGAGTAGATATTGGAAAGTATTTTAATGTAGATTAAATTCAGTTAATTCAAAATTTTGTGCAAGCAAAAGCGAATATCTCAAAAATTCGTTCCTAGCCCGATCACATTCTTTTCTACCTGCGGTAAATTGGTAATCCGAATATATCGGAGTGATTGCGTGGACTATTGGTCAGAATAAAGAATATAAAGTCCACGGATCGGCGAGAAACAGCCATATCAATGGTGCTGGACGTCTTGTACGTAATGACAACACCCTTACCAAGAATGTGACTAAGAGACCTGCAATGGTAAAGGCCAGCTGTAAGCCACTTACGAACCATTAATGACGAGGAATACTAAACATTAAATATTATTTTGCCACTGCCGTGAATCTAATTTATATCTTTCGATACAGAAAAGACATAATATTAGTTCTAATTTGCATTACATTATGGCATTTTATCTTAAGTATAGGTTAACTATAATGTGGGCTAATTTAAGATAACTTTTCTAAAAGCTGTGTTTTAAGTTTATTTATTTGTCAAGACAAAACGCGAAATGTTAGTTATTACTAACTCGAATTTTAAAGTAAAATGATGTGACATGTTTTCGAAGAAACATTTTTTTTGTATGAGACATTGACTATAATAATATTTATATAATATCTAATTCCTCTATGTATACGTTTTTTATAGAAACGGGGAAACGAGTATGCGGCCCACCTTGTAAGTGACTACTGCTAGCCATACGTATACGTGAACATGTGTTTGTCACTGAAACCCTCCTAAACGGCTCGACCGATTTTGATGATTTCTTTCGGAATGGCTAAACCGATTATAACTAAACTTCACTAGATAGATAGATATATAGAGATAGATAGAGAGCAAGGTCAGGAGTGATCTTTAAAAATTTTTTTTTTGAAAAATAACGAAAAATTTATAAAATATACGATCTTTAATTATCTTAAATCAAAATACCGCTACTTCGTAACGCATAATCGTTTGATAGACTTCAAAATTCAAATGACTTATATGGATAGAAGATCTATTCTGTGGTAGCGTATAACACAATTCAACACGGTCGACTAACGTTTTTGACCGACTAACCTTTGACTGCTGTTACGAACCGTGCCAGCGGTGAAAAATTTAATTGAAGCGAATAGGCGTATTACTTACGAAGAGATTCAGCACATATTGCAAATTATATCGGGAAGCGTTCACGAGATTTTACACAAACACCTTCGCGTGA